CCAACTTTTCCCACCACCCACTCCCAGCCTAACACTACATGTTTTAGGTTATTTTTATGGCAGTATTCCACTTCCAAGCATTGATTTTTATTCCTGCTATCTATTACTGTAGAAAAAAAGACCCCAACGTTTAACAAAAATTATTATTTCTCATGGTTCTGTGAGTTGACTGGTTTCACCTGGGGTGTCATGTGGGACTGCAATCAAGTCTGCTGGGGTTGAAGTCATCTTGAAGTTCTAGACATCCAAGAATGCTCACTCATGTGGCTGGTGGATGATTAGCAGAAGCCCAGGGCTGGTTCTGACTGAGTCTTGGAAGTTACATGGTGACATTTCTAATACACTCAGTTGATCATACAGGACCAGCCCAGATTCACATAGGTGTAAATATTGGGAGTTAAGCTTCATCACGGGACTATCTTTGGAGACTAGCTAATTTCCTGCTTACACTACATACAAAAGGGGACCTTTCACATTTAGGTCTTAAATCTGTCTAACTACAGTATAAAGTTAACAGAAGAAAAGGAAAAATATTTTTGTGTCAGGGATGAGAGAGGAGTTATCAAATAAATCTTCAAGAGCACAAAATTATAAGGCAGAGAAATAAAAGATAAATTTGATCACACCAAAATATAGGATTTCTGCCCACAAAGGACATCGTGGAAGGAATTAGTATATGGCAGAATGGGAGAATATATTTGCAATATCTGAAACTGATGAGCAATTAATGGCTAGATATAAACACTTGCAAATCAACTAAAAAAAGAGAGCACTGTAATTCCCCCCCAAATTGGCAAAGGATATTAAAAAGCAATTTACAAACAGTAAGCCCCAAATATTAACAAGCATATGAACAGATACTCAAAATCATTAGTAAGCAGAATAAGTGCAGAATGAAACAGTGAGCTCTTATTTTATAGCTGCTAATGTGACAAAAAATAAGAAGCTAGAGAATGCCAAGTATGAGTATGTATGTGCAAGGTACACACACCTCACACGAGCAGGTGAGAATGAGGACTACTGTAGCCATCCTGGACAATATCTGGAACTACTTTGAGATATACACCCTTAAGGGGAATTGCTGGATTTATAGGGAATGCGTACATTTAAATTGTCTAAGAAACTTCTCACAGGCCGGGGAGGAGATGTTCATTGCAGCATCATTCTTTGTTGTTTGCGTGTGTGTGTGTGCGCGCGCGCACGCTCACACTCATACTCATGTGCTTGGGAGGTGGTGGTAGTGACGGTGGTGGTGGGAGGTGAAGGCATCCTGAGTGTCCATCCCCAACAGAACAATAAACCATGGTGATTCTCATCGTGGAATACCAAGCAGCCATTAGAAGCTACAGATTAAGTAAACATATAGCAACATGGGTTGATTTTAATTTTCCAGTAAGAATTCTGTTTTGGAAGAAACAGAATGAGAAATGTAATACAATACCATTTACATAAATTTAAAAATACATATAGGGCTGGCCAGTTAGCTCAGTTTGTTAGAGAGTGGTGCTGGTCAAAAAATACATACAGATGAGGGCCGGCATGTGGCTCACTTGGGAGAGTGTGGTGCTGATAACACCAAGGCCACGGGTTCGGATCCCTTTATAGGGATGGCCGGTTAGCTCACTTGGGAGAGCGTGGTGCTGACAACACCAAGTCAGGGGTTAAGATCCCCTTACTGGTCATCTTTAAAAAAAAAAAAAAAATACAGATGAAATGACACAATTTTGCAAGAACATGTACAAACAAAAATGCACATTAATATATTAGAGAGGTTGCTATTGTGGGGAGAAGAGTAAAAGTGGAGTACAGGAATAAATGTAAATAGAAAAAAATTTTTGAGATGTTAGAAGATTTATATTACCTGACTCAGACTTATCATAAAGCTACAGTAATCAAGGCAGTGTGGTATTAGTGTCAAAATGGATAAATAGATCAAGGGAACAAAAGAGAGCCAGAAATAAACATGACACATATACAGCCAATTGATTTTTTACAAAGGTGCAAAGGTAATTCAGTGGAGAAAGGAATAACTGAATATCCACTGCAAAAAGTGAATTTGGATCCATAACCTGAACCATACCAAAAAAACTAACTCAAAATATATCATAGACCTACATGTAAAACCCAAAACTATAAAACATAGGAGAAAGTCTTTGTGATCTTGGGTTGGGCAAAGATTTCTTATTTACAACACCAAAGTAGTAATCCATAAAAGAAACATTTGATACATAGTATTTCATCAACATTAAGAACCTGTGTTCTTTGAAAGACAGTGGAAAAGAATGCAAAGACAATATCTGCAAATCATACATCTGATAAAGTTCGTGCATCCCAGTTAAGAAACCCTCAAAACTCAATAAGAAAACAAGCAATCCATTTTTTTTTAAATGAAATTCAAACAGGCAATTCACTAAAGACTTACCCATGGCAAATAAGCACATGAAAAGATATCCAATATCAATCATTAAGGAAACTCAAAACCACAATGAGATACCACTACACACCAGTTAGAATGACCAAAATTTAAGACTGACTATACCAAGTGGTGGCGAGGATGGAGAACTGGAACAGTCACACACCTCTGGTAGGGATGTAAAATGACACAACCACCCTGGAGAGCAGCGTGGCAGTTTCTTAATAATTTACAAACATAGACCTACCATATGACACAGACATTCCATTCCTAAGTATTTACCCAAGGAAAGTGAAAGCATATGCCCATACAAAGACCTGTACAGGAGTGTTCACAGCAGCTTTATTTGTAATAGACAAAACCGGAAACGACCCAAATGCCCATCCACGGTGAATTGGTAAACTAACTGTGGTTCAGCCATACGACGTAACACTATAAAATAAATACATTTTACTTAGCTATAGAAAAGAAGGAACTATTGATACATGCAACAATATGGCTGAACCTCAAAATGATTATGCGGAGTACTGTATATATACCGTATGGTTGCATTTACGTAAAACTCTAGAAAGCAAACCCCTCTGCAGCGACTGAAAGCCCATCCGTGATTGCCTGGTAGGGGGGCTTCGGGAGGGAAGGATTACTAAAGGGCACGAGGAAACTTTTAGGGATCATGTAAATCATCTTGATCGTGCAGATGGCTGCACTGGGCAAACGTATGTCAAATTCATCCAACTGTACAGCTTACATATGTGCAAATTACTGTGTGTCAATTATATCTGAACAAAACGCTTTTTTAAAAAGAGAAGGTCGCGTCACCTCGCGCCCAGAGTCCCCAAGCTGGTAAGCGGCAGGGCACGATTCTAAGCAGTCGCGAGCCTCGGGGTCCCGCCCCGCTCGCCCGGGCCCCGGTAACGAGCACGGAGGGCGGCTTCGCGCGGCGCGGAAAGTGCTGGAAGGCAGCCGGGCCGAGCGCCGG